GCAAATAGATACTGTGAGATATACAAGTGAATACGGTAACACCAAGACATTCTTGTCCACATCTGCTAACGATACCACTGTTCGTCCCTCTAATGGTAGATGTTCTGCCTGATGCAAAACCAGTAAGATTATTGAGTGGGATGTCATAGTGTTCCAGGGACTGTTTAATGTTGTTATATAAACCCTGACGAGTAGAACCACTGCCATCACATCCAGTTTTTAGGCCTCGCTCCTCACGGCCGAGCCTGCGCGCTGCCTCGCCTCTCCCTGCTGCGCCACCATCTGCGCCTCCTGCTACGCCATTTTCTGCGCTCCCGATATACCACCTTCTGCATCTCCTGCTGCACTACCTGTGCGCCAATAAATTACACCTGTTAACCTGGGGCTAAGAGCTCTGCTGCTCAGTCGACCTTCTTCCACACTTCGCCCTCCCTGGACAACGCGGAAGTGGTTGGTCTGAACGACCTGCAGAGCAGACTGCTGGCCGAAGCCACAAATCCAGCGCGAGATGTCTCACCAGAACGAGATCCTCAGCACTCGCTTCGGCGAGGCAGTTCAAAGCCTGGAGTTCGCCCTCGAGGGAAACGAGGCGCTCAAGGCCCGGGAGGAGGCCGTAAGGTGTGCTTCCGAGGAACGGAAGGGCCGCTTGAGCGCCCTGCCGAGGGAGGAGGCCGACCTGAAGGGCGTCCTGGCTAGAATGACGGAGCGGCTGGACGACCAGGACGACTAGGGACGTCGCAGTAACCTGCGATTGTCGGGCATGCCGGAGGACCGCGGCGAGACCTGCGAGAGTGCCAGCGGAGACCGGGAGACTTTCTGCAACGACACCTTGACGTGACGCCCGTGTAGGCCGCCCAATTCATGACAGGCCCAGAGACCAAGTTCACGAGTTTTGTGCAAGTTCAAAAATACTACTGTCAGGCTCCCCATGAGTGAAGGCCCGCAGGGACCGGCTAGAGCAGCTGAGACAGAAAAGGAGCGAGGGCAAGAACACCATCAGCTACAGGAAGCTGTTTGTAATAGAGCACCAGTGCCCACGTGCCCCACCTGACTCCGCCCTCACCATGCCGCCTCCCGACCCACCCCGCTGCGGCCCCGCCCTCGCTGCACCTCGCTGTCTGCCCCGCCGGCACCCGATGCAGCGCCCTTGGGTCCCCGCCTCGACGCCCTGCCAACCACAAGACACTCCTCGACGGCGCTGAAATCTCCTGTGGGAGACACGCCCCATACCTTCCTTCTGCCGTTTCGCCCTGCCAGCCAGAGTCTAAGGAATACGAAGTAATGTTGCTTCCGATAATCTGTCAAAGTGCACCAGGGACATAACTTTGTTCATTTATTATGGAGTGTGCGTTAATTTTCCTTTTCATGATCTTAATAATGATGCCTTAACGAATATGTTTAATTCAGATAATGAAGCCCCGCCCATAGTATAGAAGTACTTGAATCAAGAATTTTCCTTAATATTAAGATCGGTGCCTCTAATGACTGCTTTGATTTTTTTAATTCACTCGGAACAGATCATTTCTTGCCCGATTCATGATAAATCCAAATTGTTCTTGTGCTTTCCCTGATTCTATTACTCCTAGCAATGAATCTAATGCCTATCTCTCTATCCATGACATTTGTAACCTTCCTAAATATTTTGATAAGTTTACCTTACAATGTTTAAATCCCGGTCATTTTGATGCAATCGGCTTTTCTGAAACTAGACCTACCCGAGACATTGGCCACCACCTAACACTCCCCTACTATTTACCTTGCATACTTCTCTTTACCATTCTAGAAAAGCATGAGTGTCGCCTTCTATACTCATGATGGGTTTTTCTCACATAGTAGAGCTGATCTATTATTCCAAGAAGATTTTACAGTTTTTACTGAAGTATTCCTTAGCAATGCGACCTACTGATTGGTCAAATATATAGGCGCCTCAAAAATAACTAAAAGTTTCACCTCATAATCAAGAGTCTTCCAAGCAAAGGAAATCTTTTTCACCGAGACCTTCTCATGGTCTGATGACAAAGTTAGGGAAATCGCATCTATCCTTTAATTCTAGGATTTTTTCCGTAATCATTAAAGCTACAGGGAAACTGCCTCCTTAACTGATCATTCGTGGACAAATTTTTCACCAAAATTAAAAGCGAGTGGGATTATATATGGCAAAATTTTTCAGTTTTTAGTACTTTTACCCTAAAATTAGATAATGAACTTAAACCGCTAAAACATTTCACTATCGCGACTAAAACGAATCTCAAATATACAGTTTTCATAGTCATAGTGTTGTTGCCGATTTTTCCTTTTCCTTTAAAATATTTTTCAAGTCACGAAAACCCTGGTCCTTCGACAAACCACACAGCACATCTAAAATATAAGAACTTAATCAAAGAAAATGATAAACATCAAAAGAAATATGCTAAGAGGACACTCTCAGAGGCGAGAGATTTTGGTCTCTACGCAGCCACCGCAGACAAACAGTGCGGTAGCAAAGGCGGATTATTGCAAAAGGGAACAAGAGCAAAATGCCGGAGGTACAAAAAAAGACATGGTAAATTCTTTTTTTTTTCTACAAAAAAAAAAATCAGACAAGGTACAGATGAATGACAAAGAAATTAATGCCCTACCATTATTGCCGATGAATTCAAACATTTTTCAAGTAGAAGTAAAACCTCTCACGGCTAATCTCTAGTGTAGTCGGGGACTTTAAAAAAATCATCAGACCCTCCGACAACCATATGAGCCTCACTCTAGCAGGAGACGAACGTTATTGATGTTAATGAACTTAAAACCTTTTCTCCTGGCAATGACTGCATTCCTATCATTATAACTTTTTAAAGTTACTTTCTAGCATTCTTAAACCTGAACATATTACCATTAGATTCAGTATGGAAGTATTCCCCAAGAAACTGAAAATTGCAAAAGTTTATCCTCTGTTCAAATTTGGTAAGTTTTGCTTTCGCTTTCACTCTGTTTCTATCCTAACAGTATTTAGCTCATTACAGTATTAAAGGGAATATACACGCCTGGCTTGCCTCGTCCCTGTCAAACTCCATACAGTATGTATTTTTTAGTAATTGCAACTCTTTTAACAAAATTATGACACGGAATTCCACAGGTTCTATCTTGGGACAAATTCTATTCCTACTATATATCAATGATATAGTCAGTGCAAGTTTCCTCACTTCACTCACTATGCCGATGATACTTGCTATTACGCTTCAGGAATTAATTGTCGCTACAAACAGTGCAATGGCAAACATTAAATGGATAACTCCAAATAAGCATATTCTGAACATTGAAAGACACATATCATTTCCACAGAAAAAGACATACCTCCTGTTCTACCTCATGTCACCGCTGCTAATGTTAAAAGGAATATGCATACCAGTTCCTTGGAATTCGCACTGATTTTCATTTGAAAACACACATAAATATTGAAGTATCTAAACTAAATAAACTATATGGAATTACTCATCAACTGCGCTTTACATTGCCCCTGGAAGCCTTGCAACAAATATTCCATTGACATACCCTCACTTTATTTGGGCAAATTATTTTGGGAGCTACGTGATCTACGTCATCGTAGTATCTTGGGTTTAGAGGAAATGATCTCACGCCTGAAGGTTTCCTAAAGCTATTTTTTTTAACTGAAAGAAATAAAGCACTTACTGCTGTGTATTGTTTGTGTGTTTTCAAATGTTAAACTCCCAAAGTCTATTATAAAATTAGCGACATATATCCCTTAAGAGATAATAACATGATTGCTGTTCCTTTCATGCAGTCTGAACAGTCCAAACCATATATATATTGCATTAAGAACCTTCGCTCTGGAATGCTCTCCCTGAAAATGTACGTATCTGTCCTACTGTGTCCTCTTTTAAACGCTCACTAAGATATTAATTTTCATCTTAATATGTTTTATAATGTTTGATTTTACATAATTTGTTTCATTTTCTTCTACTGGAGGCTCTTGTGTCTTTTACACCTATAGTGTATTATATATAATGTATTTCTTATGTCATTAATGCAGGTATTTTCCCCAATATCAATCTGTAGAATATCACTCAGTTATTGTACAATTTGTTTACTTCTTCTCTGCTCTAACCACTGGGTCATCGCGGCAGTATATATATATATATATATATATATATATATATATATATATATATATATATATATATATATATATACGTATATATACGTATATATACGTATATATACGTATATATATATATATATATATATATATATATATATATATATATATATATATATATATATATATATATATATATATATATATATATATATATATATATATATATATATATATATATATATATATATATATAATATATATATACATATATTCTTACATATATATATATATATATATATATATATATATATATATATATATATATATATATATATATATATATATACATATATATATGCATATATATATATATATATATATATATATATATATATATATATATATATATATATATATATATATATTCTTACATATATACACATATACACAAATACAAAGCAAGCAAGAAAAGGAAGGAAATCAGACGCAGACTCCGAATAGCAAAAGATCCCAACAGCCCGCAAGCTCTTAATGCAAGTAAAACTCGTTAAAACTCTGGTCGACTCTCCTGTATGGTTGCAAGTTTATACAATGAATCGTCATTTATTCGTATCACTTTATTTCTAGATATTGTATCACTTAAGTATCACATTTTTTTTAATAGCATCATGTACTTAAAAAAAGTGTATATATATGTGTATGTGTGTGTGTGTGTACGTGTATAGAAAGAAAGAGAGAAAGAGAGAGAAAGAGAGAGAAAGAGAGAGAGAGAGAGAGAGAGAGAGAGAGAGAGAGAGAGAGAGAGAGAGAGAGAGAGAGAGAGAGAGAGAGAGAGAGAGAGAGAGAGAGAATAACAAACAGAAAGAGAGAGAGAGAGAAAGGCAGATATATAAACAAATATTACATTCTAACTAGAGTAGTTACTCTTAATGAAATCCTTCCAAGCGTTTGTTTCCGGGTTGAACATGTGTTTAGGAACAACTTTACACTCATTATTTTTGTGTCTCCACACGCCGATGTCAGTGTAATGTTTCTCTTCTCTGTCGACGTGCAGGCGGTAACAGAGCTCACACAAACTGCCTCCAACCTTTGCCTCCCAAAACCCTCGCCAGACGTGATACCTGAAACGTTAGAGCACTTGATTAGAAAACTCAATAGACACATACACACGCGCGCGCGCTCGCATACATAAATACATACATGACAAATTATTTATACCAGACGGGGAACCAGAGCTCAGCTCATCACCTGTAATGGAACAACTACGGAAAAATTGCGCGCGCGCAAATACACACACATATGCATATATATAAATATATGTGTGTTTGTGTGTGTGACTAAGGATATACACATCCACATAGTGTACGTGTGTATGAGTAACACCAACACTCATCCCACACGTACTTGCCATAGGCCACGGGATCCGCCTTGAGCTGCTGTAGGAGCTGCGCCAGTTCTTGTGGGTGATATTTCCGTGCGTCGATGTAAGAATTTGGGGGCAATAACTTGGCATAGTTGGAACCTGCAATGCCAACAGGAAATCAAGTTTAGACGTTCGGGTTCATGAGCAAATAGACAGAAACACATGCATAAACAGAAACACACACACACACACACACACATTTATATATGTGTTTATATATATATATATATATATATATATATATATATATATATATATATATATGTATATTGATATACATACATATATATGTATGTATATAAATCTATCTACACACACACATATATGCATATATATGTATACGTGTATGTATATATATAATATATAACATATATATATATACATATATATATATATACATATATATATATATATATATATATATATATATACGTATATACATATATATAATATATATATATATATATATATATATATATATATATATATATATATATATACATATATATATATATATATATATATTTATATATATGTGTGTGTGTGTGTGTGTGTGTGTGTGTGTGTGTGTGTGTGTTTGCATATATGTATATATATATACTTATACATACATATATATTTTTTTGTATATATGTATTCATATATGTATATATGTGTATATATATATATATATATATATATATATATATATATATATATATATATATATATATATATATTGTGTGTGTGTGTGTGTGTTTGCATATATGTATATATATATATATAGATATATATATATATCTATATATATTATATATATATATATAGATATATATATATATCTATATATTATATATATATAATATATTATATATATATATCTATATATATTATATATATATATAGATATATATATATATAGTATATATATATATATAGTATATATATATATATATATTTATATATTTGTATATATATGTATATATATATATATAATATATATATATATAGTATATATATATATATTGTGTGTGTGTGTGTGTTTGCATATATGTATATATATATATATTGTGTGTGTGTGTGTGGTGTGTGTGTGTGTGTGTGTGGTGTGTGTGTGTGTGGTGTGTGTGTGTGTGTTTGCATATATGTATATATATATATATATTGTGTGTGTGTGTGTGTGTTTATATGTATATATATGTATATCTGTATATATATATATATATATATATATATATATATATATATATAAACATATATATATTTCTATATTTCTATATATATGTATATATATATATATATATATATATATATATATATATATATATATATATATATATGTATATTGAAATTAATTATTGATATCAATATATCAATGAATTATACATATATTGAAATAGTATCCCTTGAGATCAAACAAACCCGCCCTATCATAAGAGGAAGGCTTTGTACGGCTTCGTTCAAACTTTTTCAGTCTAGATTAACATTTACAATACCACACTAATGTCTCATATTTGAAAACCTCGTCTATCTTAAGTATATTACATTGATCCAAGTTTGTTTTTTTTACTTATGTGAACTACTAAATTATTTTTTTTTACAGATTGCTACAGTAGATTACATAATATTATGAATACTCCTTTAATATCTAATGCTATAATCATTAAGTGCATTTTCTACATTAATTAACATTACTAGACGGCTATTCACATCTTTTTAAAGGCAATGACTATTTTGACATTAGTGCTTCACAAATTCAGACTTTTCTCTAAATGAATCAGTGTTTAGTTTATTGAATCGTAAGACTATTCTCAATTCGCGCGACGTAGCAGTTTTAAAAGTGAGTGGTAGTTTACTCGTGTTATGAGGATTCATGGTTTATAATAGTAACGTGTTGTGTATGTATAGACTATTTTGTCCCTTTCCATATTGAGTACATTGTGACTGTTGTAAATGTATTATTGTGGTAAAAAAATATCTGATACCGTAAAAATGCTCTAAATTTTTAAGCAAAGTTTTAAACCCGCACTCGAATGTTTGTTAGTACTGAATAACTAAGGTCAGCTCACGTCAGTCCTGTGCGAAGCTCATGACGGCCGGCCTTCCACAGAAGGCGGGGTCGCATTGCGAAACGTGATTCTTTCAAGACTAACGAGAAAACGGGTTCTCCTTTGAACAGCCTATTATATTTTGTTACAGTCGATAACTAGGTAATCATTTGGTAATTGTTTCTTCTTCCGCGCATGTTTGAAAATTCGAAGTAAGAAAACCAACACATTTGATTTCAAGAACAGTCTGAATATAGTCACGTAAGTTATATTTGTCATTTGTGCTTTAGAAACTGAGAATCACATCAGACGGGTAGCACGCACGAACGCTGATTTTGCTGCCACAGAGGATCGGGCGAGGATGTTGCCACGGGCAGACCTGAACACCCTGCCTGCAATGCCCGTGGACTAGACCACTTCAGGAGTTGGGTTGTGCCGACCTAGGCCTCGCGGACATGAAAATACCATGCCGAAAACGCTGATACTCACCTCCCCAGACCACCGGCACCAAGTTATACATAAGTGGATTATATAACTTTTCGGTCACGTAGTCATCACACACGTTGTTCTCCATAGCCAGGTAGAACGAATAATTGCGGCTGAGTATATCCACCCAGCACAGGGGTTTGCGAGGAGACCTTCTGTCGCATCGCTGCCCACAACTCCCGTACCTAAGGAAACGGGTGAAGACGTTTACAGTAATTCATGACTTCTATATATATATAAATATATGTGTGTTTGTATGTGTGTGAGTGTGTGTACACACACACACACACACACACACACACACATATATATATATATATATATATATATATATATATATATATATATATATATTTATATATTTATCTATATATATACATATGTATATGTATATATGTACATAGGCATATATATGTATATGCACTTATATAGATATATATATATATATATATATATATATATATATATATATATATATATATATATATATATATATATATATATATATATATATATTGCACATATATAAATATATATACATATATATGAATATATATGTATATATGTGCATATGTATATATATGTATATGTATATGAATATATATACATATATATATATAGATAAATAGATAAATAGATAAATACATACTTACACACACACACACACACACACACACATACACACACACACACATACACACACACACACACACACACACACACACACACACACACACACACACATATATATATATATATATATATATATATATATATATCTACGGACATACGTATATATACGTATAAACGTATATATTTGTGTATCTATCTATCTATCTATCTATCTATCTATCTATATCTATATATATATATATATATATATATATATATATATATATATATATATATATATATAAATCTTAAACGCTGTCAACCAGAATCGTAAAATGTTTAAAATGCCACCACAAGCCTGTTGAATTCAATAATGTTGTCACTAGTGTAAGAATTTTCCCCGCTGCCACCAATGCCTGGTTCACTTTTTCACGCACAAACTAAACCCCGAGAAAACCCAATCTGGCTTGCCTAGATATACCGTGAGAAAAGCTGAATTACCCAAGTTCTTTTCCTCTATGATCATTTAAAGATAAAGAGGTGGCATATCACAATGTAAATCTTAGCAATAGGCATTATGAGAAAAACAAGGAATATCCTCTGCTGCTAATCTAATTAGATTCCAAGGTCAATTCTACACCCTCCTTTTGCCTACTTATTACAAATCAATAATGATCATTTAGATAGATAATATAAAATCAAAGGTGAGACAGGATCGAAACACTCGCCCCCACTGCCGGTTCTCTCCATTGTCACCTTGGGCCAACTGATGATCAATCCTTTACTTCTAACTTTTCCTCTCCTACACTTTCGTTTGATCTAAAGTTCCATTCCCAACTAATCCCTTGGTGCAGAAGGAATCGCCTCTTTCGTTGTAAAACAAGATCTTTAATATCCTGTGAGCGAGATGAGAGGAAGGCTCTGTTATGAGTATCCCTGCTTACAGCCTCACCCACCCACTGAAGTGTGAAAATTTAAGCAGACACAATATTCATAGATAATTATAATTTAGTCTATTAGTTCTGACACTAAATTTTGCTAAATTGGTTTGCCTTCAATATAAAAATACGCAAATAAACATTCTGGTCCACACATATTCATAATTATAACTAATACACTACACTAATACATAATTATAACTAATATTGATAATAATGATAATAATGATAATAATAATAATAACAATAATGATGATGATTACGATAACAACTACAGCAATAATAATGCCAGTAATACATTATGAACGATGAGCCATTGACATGAATACGACTTCTGAGATGCTTTTCTCCCCCAGAGAAGACCCCTTCCCAGGCAGCGCCCACCTCCCCGCGCGCCGCCCCTGCTTACTTGTCCACGGGG